TGCGTTTCCGCTTGGGGCTGAGGTCATTCGTCGCGATTTCTATGTGGATGATTTGATATCTGGAGCCAAGTCCAAGGAAGAGGCAGTCATCATTATGGATCAGGCATCAAAACTTCTAGCCAAGGGAAAATTTAAGCTTAGAAAGTGGTGCTCAAATGTGTCGGCTGTTTTGGATGGAGTTGCAGACAAGGATAAGGAGTCCTATTTGAAGTTTGATGATGGCACTGATTTTGCAAAAACCTTAGGTCTCGCTTCGGATCCACTTTCTGACCAACTATTGTTTTCCTATTCGGTCTTACAGTCAACATCAAGCCCCTGCAGGCGATCTGTCCTGTCTGCAATAGCGCGGTTTTACGAAAATTTTCCTTCAACAACTGTGCAAGGAGAAGTTATCCTGGGATGAAAGCCTTCCTGAGTCACAGAATACGGAATGGAGTGCTATATGTACGAGTTTTGGGCAGATTAAGCATGCGTCATTCCCTCGGCTGGTTCGTTGTCCAAACTCTGAGAGTGAAATCCATGGATTTTGTGATGCCAGCATAGAAGCATATGGTGCCTGTGTCTACATCGTTTGCAACGGCCGATCTCAATTACTTTGCTCAAAGTCAAGTGTAGCCCCCTTGAAAACACTCACTGTGCCCAAGTTGGAACTGTGTGGGGCGGAACTCCTCTCTAGGCTCATCGCAGAAGTGGCTGGGACGAGTGCATTTGAGGGAAAGGTTTACTGCTGGAGCGACTCTGCTGTTGCGCTTTCATGGATCCGAGACGAGCCGTCCAGATTTAATATTTTTGTAGCGAACCGAGTAGCTGCCATTCAAGAGCTAACTGAGTCAGTGGAGTGGCGATATGTTCCAACTACTTTAAATGCAGCTGACATTCTCTCCTGAGGTGCTTTTCCTGGTGAGTTCAACGAGTCTCCTCTCTGGGCTCATGGACCAAAATTCCTCTGTGGCCCCAAAGCTGACTGGCCGACCCCAATCACTGCTGAAAAGCCAACGATTGAGGCTCGCCGGAGGATTCTACTAACAAAATCTCCATACGAAGACATAGTGGCCAGTTCCAAATTTGCCAATTCCTTTGCTGCCCTTCAAAGAATTTTCGGACACGTCTACAAGTTTAGTAATCGCATCCATCGCCCTACGCTCACGGTGTCTGACCTTCAAGGCGGTACGCTGCTGTTGCTTCGTCTTGTCCAGCGCTCACATTTATGGGATGACCTCAAATCATTGCAGTCAAAGGGAATAGTGCACTCCTCCAGCTCGCTCGCATCTCTTTCGCCATTCATTGACCAATTTGGGCTTCTTAGAGTGGATGGCCGGCTGAGGAATTCTTCTCTGGATTTTAATGGGCGTCATCCAATTATATTACCACGGAGTCATTCGGTCACTATTGCCATTATTACTCACTTTCATGAACGCAATCTGCACACTGAGCCACGGGCATTACTTGGCATAATTCGATCCCAATATTGGCCTATTGGGGGGAGGAAGACGGTTATGAAGGCGGTAAATAAATGTATTAGATGCTTTCGAATGAAGCCTCGAGTAGTGGAGCATATCATGGCGGATCTTCCAAAGGAGCGACTTGATGGATCTCATTCGTTCGAAGTCACTGGCATTGATTTTTGCGGGCCATTTTTCTACAAGTCAGAGGCGCGAAGCAAGCCTCCAGTAAAATGCTACGTTTGTGTCTTCATTTCATTTTGAGTTAATCAAGGATCTCTCTACGGTATCGTTTCTACATGGCCTCAAACGATTTATTTGCACTAGAAGAAGGCCGCGGCAGATTTGGTCTGATAATGCAACCAACTTTGTTGGCGCTCGCAATGAGCTGCTCGAACTAAGGCGCCTATTCCTCAGCAGTGATTACCAGAGAGCTACGTTGGATTTTTGCCTAGCGGGGGCTATTAATTGGTGTTTTATTCCTCCTAGGTCGCCACACTTTTGCGGTCTTTGGGAAGCGGCTGTGAAGATCGCTAAGCATCATTTCTACCGCGCTGTTGGCACTGCTGTTTTAGCCTTTGAGGAGTTGCGGACCCTGGTGTGTCACATTTCGGCGGTTGTTAATTCTCGACCATTGGTCTCGATTTCAGAAAACCCAGCTGATCTGGATGTATTAACCCCAGCACATTCTTTGAATGGTGGTCCGCCTTCCTCTTTCGTCGAGCCGGATGTGACCAGTCTTAACTTCAATCGCTTGGATGGATGGCAACGCGTGGCTTACTTGCAGCAGATCTTTTGGTCCCGATGGAAGGAAGTATACCTAACAATACTGCAGCAGCGATCCAAGTGGCGCTCCCCAAAACCTGGCTTGGTTGTCGATGACTTAGTTCTGGTCAAGGACGAAAACTTGCCTCCCATGAAGTGGCCCCTCGCCAGAGTGATCGAACTTCTGTCCGGTGGAGATGGGGTTGCTCGAGTTGCCGTTCTGAAGACAGCATCAGGAGTGACAAAGTGAGCAGTAAACAAGCTGTGTCAGCTTCCCCTGAAGGATGATGTTGAAACCCAGGCTTCCAAAGGGGGGAGTATGTCGGGGCACGCATCCGCAGCAGCTAATTAACTTATTTCGATCTCTTATATTAATTGCATCGCGTCTCTATCTAGCTCTCTCGTTTTTTGTGTACTTGCATTTTTGGGCCCAGCCTTCGGCTGGTTGTCCCTTTATAAAATCAGTACGAATTCTGATCTCGACATTAAATGCATTCTCGTCTCGCCTGCTGTACTCTCTCTCGCTAATAAATTGTTAACAAGCATAAAGCAACCTGAAATTCGTATATTTAATTCAGCAATAACTAATAAAAAGCTTATTAGTTCAACACCCTTCCATCACTTGTGAAAATCAAATTTTTTCATGAGTTTTCACTTATAGAATTTAAAATACATAAATTTTTATTTACTTTTAAATTTTTTTTAATTAAATAATGTTATTTAGGTTTTCTGTTAAAGGACAGTTATTGTTAGTAAGCCTAGTTTTATGTTACGTTAATTTGCTTTTTACATTGGTCATCGCCTTCCTTAAACCTTTGTCCGGGTCCTGCGAGTCCTTGGCCAACGCTCCTGAAAAAATGTATGGGCATATGTTTAAAAAATTCGATTTTCTTGCTTATTTGCATATTTACCTTTTAGAGCTGTGTTTCACCCTTTGCAGGATTTTTATTGGCCCAAAAAATTTCATCAACCACTTTCGGATAACGGAACCCATTGAATACCTTAATACTTTAAACTAAGATCAATGCACAACATCTGAAACTTAACGTAATACTTACCTGACTATATTATTTTCACAAACGAAAAAAGTAAATCTGCTGCGCACAATTTAAATGGCTTGCTTCCCTTTCAATAACTCAAACAGAATGAACAAAGTCTTCCTCTCACCCCTTTACTTGATTTCTTTTGTTTTCTCTTCGCTGTTGGCGCGTGCAACTCCACCTAACCCTTTCTAAAGCGAAAAATATCCGACTGTATTATTTTTACTTCTTAAGTAAAATGTACTATACGAATTTTTTAAAAATGGTAATATTAAAATGTTTTAAATATTTAAATCAATATTAACGGACTAAATTTCTAAAACTAAACTTAAAAATTATATTGTAATAAAAATGTATAATAAGTAAACATAACATTATAAGTAAATTCAATTTACTTTATTTTACTATAATCAAATAGTTTATTTTTATAAAACAATATTAGTTTTTTTTTTCGATATACAAGCTTTTTGCCCTGAGCCATGTCACCGCGTCCCTACTGCAGAACTGAAGGGTAGTATTAGGAGTCTCAAACCATTATCGAATCGGCACAAAAGCCATTTCTGATCTTTGCACTTTCGATGCAGATATAAATGAATCGACTTGCCGTCATTAAAACACCGCAGGACTTGCAATACCATAATGTTTGTTTATGAGCTACTTTCCTACATAGTTTTAAACATTCCAAACTAACACTCTCACTCACCATACGTCATACGGATTTGAATCCAAATGAAAACTTATGGAAATATGCAGTTCTTCCAAGTGGAATTAAGGAGCTGTGGGAGAGGACAAAGGATATATGGTATGCTATTCTCCCCGAATTGGTGCAACGCTATACCCAAAGTATGCCAAGTGGCGTGGAACTTAAAAAGGGCTGTGGACACATTATTAAAAAATGATTCATAAAAATATTTGTTTACAAAATAACCTCATTGCAAAACTGTAACACTTAACTTCTTTAGCAGTTTGCTCTAGCATTTTTCACTCCTATTATAAAATTGTTTAATTAGTTTTATTTAATTTTCTAGAAACGTAGCGTATAAATATATACCAACAAAAGAAGACTACGATATTTAGCGTTAATAAATAAGAACAGACCTTTGAAGTTGGAGTATTGAACTCGTGTTACAGCTTTGCTCGTCAGTGTGTATTACCTACATAAGCATAGCTCGTGGTACCAAAACAAATGATGTTTAAAAAAATCCTTAAAAATATACTATCCATACAAAATTTATTTGTACTTCTTGTTTGCGATCTAGGGGTCCAACTTTACCAGGACTACCATCATCCTTCTTGGGGTATTTAAAAAAAATTATTTTGTAAACTAGTGCCTATAATCAAAATAATTTAATGAACAAGTTACGGGACATATTATTATAAATATATTTTGTCGACAAGATAAGAGAAAACGGCTACAGTTACTTGGAAATGTTGACGTGACGTCACATGTGAGATTTGACGAGTTCGTCACTTGCCCTACACTCCCTAAAAAATTCTAAGTTCCAACTTTTTATGTCTCTTTCCAAAAAATGGTTAAATTCGTGATATCTTTGTTTTACTGATTTTACTGTAAAATAGTTGGAAGTGTAAGAAAAAGCAAAATAAATAATAATACATTTTTAACTTCAAAAAGGAATAGATTCCCTATTAACCGCTCGCTTTGAAGCTATTTAATCTTATCAAACTTGTAGTGTTTTATATTTTTAAAATGTAGTGTAATTTGAATAAGTAAAACAACTATGCATCTTTTCAGAATGCCGGCGGATCCATCAGAAGAAATGGCAACTCCTCAGGTTCCTAAAACCGAGCTAGAAGAGCTGCAAATTAGTGCGCAAGGAGTAGCTGATGAGGTTAGTGTCATAATTTGTCAATATAAATCATAAAAATCTCTAGGTAGTAGCATTTTTGTGAACCAACCTAAGTCGTATTTTATATTATATATTATATATTATAATTAATTTTAAGCAGAGCTCGTAAAAAAGGTCTCACTTGTGCTTGCTGTCAGAAAAAAGCCCCTCACAAACGGACCCCAATGAGCAACCCTAAAATTTCGTTCGCCTTAGACTTGCTCTCTGCTCAAGCGGTGAAGATATTTTGTTTGCTCGGTCGGGTCATGTGTTGTCTCGAGACCCTTTTTGTCGTAAATACTCAGCAAAAGGCCCTTTGAGCATGTATGTGTGTTTCTCGTATAGCTCGGAATGCATGTATGACTAAATTTTGCAAGACGGATGCTGCTCCAAAGTTCAAGTGATTTGTGCTCATTAATTAAAATGAACAGGGAAGTACTCTTGTTTTAAGTTTGATAAATTCACTTGCAACATATAAGGCGCCAAACTTGTTGGACATTATTTAACGAATTTAAGGCGGCATTTAATTTCGAAACATAAAGAAGCCTTTGATACACTTAAAGACAACATAATTAATAAGCCGGAACAAAATGGAAAAAATCAAAATTTCCTATGACACAAGAGAAGAGAATATCACATCATTGCTCGTAAAAATAGTCACCACTGTTGGTAGACCATTTATACTATTGGACAGCGAAGGTTTTCGGGATATAATAAATCCAATATACAATGCTCTCCATATGTCACCCATAACTTCTAGGAACATAATGGACAATGTTCGAGCGAAAGAAATCGCGATCAATCAGGAGATAAACAGTCAGTTGTTAGGCAACAACACAAGCAAACCTAGCAACAAAAATAAAGACGTTTTGTAGGAGCCCTTTTGCTGTTTTTCTCACTTACTGACTCTCAATATATGAGCGACGAATGATTTATTCGTATCAAGCGGTCAGTAGGGGACCGATTCGACTGTTCCGGTCAACCAAAAACCCGAGACCGAGAGCACGAACAAAACGAAAAAGTTTTTGCTCAGACCCTGAGCTAGTCACTCTTAGTTTTTGGCGTCTTTTAACTGAGCAGCTCGATTACGGAAATTCGCTTGACCGTATTTTAAAAGTACCGTTACATGCTGTTAAAATGTGAAAAATGTAAGTTTTTCTAAATTGCCAATCTGGAATCACGGTAATATAAAGGAATCGACCTTGAGCCCAATAAATCCGTTAATGCCTAGTCCAAAATTGGATCGAATCGCAAAAATAAAAAGTACAATTTACTGCTCGTTCGGTTGCTTGTTTTATTTACTTTACCCCTTACCTCGTTAACGGGTGTTTTCATTTGATATAAGAAGTTTTTGATTTAAAAATCAATTTTAAAATAGGAATTTTGTTCACTTTTGCTGTAATACTCATATACGAGTTATTGTAATAGCATTAAAAGCATTAGATATAATTCCGTTGGTGAGACCACGATTACTTGGATACTGTGTCCCGTAATTAATAAAAGAAATATATTTTTAGGAATAAAGTATGTGTAGATAGGCATCGGCAATTCAATCTACAGAAAGGTATGATGAATGTCTGTAGAAGGGCATATAAGCATATAATGCTTAACCAAAACAATAAGGGTAGGTTAGGTTAGGGCGGCTGTCGGACTATGATCCGACACACTTAGACCTCTATGGGTCCATTGTGATACCGCTTGATCTTGCTTTTTCCTTCTCTAGGGTCCTGTATCTAGTAGTTTCAGCCTGTGTTAAGCTGATCAGCATGTCTTCCACCCGGTAGATTTTATAAAGGCACTTGTGTTTATGAGATTAATCTCCGATATTTCGGAAAGACCGTCGATGAAGGGACTTCTTAAGTGTTTCAGTCGGAGTCTGCATAGGGCTGGGCAGAAGCAGAGTAGGTGTTCTACCGTTTCATCTTCTTCCTCATCCCTGCAGCTTCTGTAGAAATCATTTTGTGGGGCTTTTAGCCTTCCGGCATGAGTAGTAGGGAAACGCGGATTCTGGGACAATTAGCATATTAATGGCATATTAATGGAACATATCCGATCATGTTGGGGAATAATGTTTCCTGTGATTGTAAAACTAATTTAGAAATCAAAAGAACCCCAATAAAATAAATCTCACAAGTTAATGATTCTCAGATGTGGAATATTTTCAAATACACATTTTTGTTTCCGCCCCAGAACGTTTAACTGGTAAATTGTCTAAGATTCTCTCCTTTCCACAAATGGGTCATAAACATGTCATAAAAGGGATTCAAGCAAGAGCTACCCGAACATGCGCACCTGTCAATTACCTGACCGCAATAAAAGGGACACATGCACAACCCAGAAGGCGCACGCTCATTGACAAGATCATGGGCCTCACGCCAACGACCTCATGGCTGACTGCTAGCTCTGATACGTTCCCATAATAGGGGTTGAAATCACGACCGCGCAACAACTCGCAAGTAGCCGACATATCTCAGTCAAGGAAATATTTTCCATTCTCCGTACCTGTAATTTTAACTCGAAATAAAAAGTCAGAAGTTTATTTTGTAGCATAACAATACATTTATTCATTTATTTTGGTATTGCGAACATTTTTGTTATATATAGAAATTAATTTTCTGCTTTGATTCCGGCGATTTGCATAGAAGAAGCAGGCGCACGTTTCCGACGTCATTTTTGGATTACAAAATGTAAAGTGTTCACCATAATTCGTAGTTTTGAGATCATGTCCACCTCGATTCATTAACATAGATTTTGTGTTTAGAAGATATTGAAAATGCTGACCAATTATCTCTCCTTTAAATTGTTCAATAAATTGGTCAATTTCCTCATGAAATTTCATTTTGTTAATTTTATTTTCTTGTAGGTCTTTACACATCTAGTCTCAACTTTAAAATGATGTATAACAATTATTTTATTGTTTTGGAGCTACTTTTAAAAAATGTCAAAATAATGTATGCATTGTTTAGAGCACAAACCCCGCCCTTAAGGTGTGTTTCACAATAGGGAAACCGGTTTCCTTTAAACCTGTTTAATGACGGACAGCCCATTTCCTCGATATCATTGAGCTGACGACTCCCAAAAAACGTCTGTAGAAATCGTTTCTTTTCCACACCTTTACAAATAAATTGTTTTCCGCTTGTAATTGTCCTAAGATACTTTCAAGTTTGTAGACAACTGTTTTATCTATCGTTCCAAAAAATGTTGTGATGTGTATTGGTTAACCAAATTGCAGTCTTTCGAGATTTTGTATTTAGCAAGGTAAAATCATATGGTGATTCTATTAAAATACTATTATTCAAGTTTGGATCTTTTTCGAATACAATTCCAATTTCCTTTAGAATAAAATTATTATTATTATGAAAGAAACCTTGAACATAAATCGAAACAGTATCTTTCAACATTTTTCTAATGCTAAACGACTCGTTGTACTAGTCCGTTTAATGGGTTATATTCAACTAAACGGTCATGTATGAGGAGACAGTAAGCTTGGGTATTTTCATGACTTGGTGTCTTCAGTTCTATTGAAATTCTCACATCAATAGGACCAGTTTTCACTGATTCGTTTTGATATGAAAGATCAACCACAATAATAGGGGCCTTCAATTTAAATTCATTTGGGGTCAAAAATGGTTGTGATTCACGATTACAGTAACTAGATTGAAATCTTGTATACATTTCATATAGGTGAGCATACTGATTCTTACTAAAATCAACATTCAGATTATCATATGGATATGACTCAGAATTCAAGTGAACTTTCAAGTTCGATAACTTATTTGTGATAAGTTCTCCATTTAGTGTAAATCCAATTATGGCAAATCTTGGTTTTTTGCGGTTAGCCGACAATTTCACATTCCAGCTGTGTTGACTTCCATACCCCAATTTGGTGTTAACATATGAGTCCCAACTCCGGAATGCGATTGGTAGGTTTACACCACTTTTAATAATATCGTACATCTTAATTTTTGCAAAATCGCTCGGAGTTACATGGGGCATTTTCCAGGTTATATTCGTCATTTCCAACATAAAAGTTTGTTCATTTCTCGTTTGTTCAAGATTCACCAAGATTCTTAGTTAGCATCAACACTAGTTCGTGTTTACAATTTAACAAAACTTTTTTATAATCCTCAGCAAATCCCAATAAATTTTTTAATGGTACAGAAAAGTTAAAGTGGGGTCCCGTAGATATTTCGTTCCCACTGCTCTATCCGGAATTTAATAGATTTTGACTTTGAAGATTATCCAGAGATATAAAATATTTTAGGGTAGTACTCATATTGATGGACATGGACTTGACACATTGGACACGTTGTGTTTAGTTGTTATCTAGAAGTATTTTGATGTTTACTTTCTCTTTAGTCTTGTTTTTGGGATGGTTACTTTGTGTATGGTACCTGTAAAGTACTTGCTTTTGGATGATTACTTTTTGTATAGTATCTGTAAAGTACTTGGTTTTTAGATGGTAACTAACTGTTAACAAGTGTTATGAGTTGTTATAGTTTCTGGTTAAGAATTATCAAAGCATACAAACCAACTTACCGTGAACTATAATTACCTGCCCATCATTAAAGTCACATGCCCAAGACCTAAGGAGCAGGCCGTCTGATATGTTCATACATCTCAAGACCATTGATAAGGGATGATGTTCCGACCGTTCACCAACTCGAAAGTAGCCGACGTACCTCATTAAACAAAATACTTTCCCTTCATCCGTACTTGTAGTTTTAATTACAGTCAGAAAGAAATTTTGTAGGATCATTTAATTTTATTTTATTTATTTTATTTTTGTAAACATATTTCATTTAATTCCTAATTAAATATATATTATATATATTTTTATATAATTAATTTTCTGACTCCTCCCTCTGTAAGAAATATATGGGTTGTTAACCTTCGGTCCAAACGCATATTTTCGGTTGGTTCCCATAGATAGATGTAAAATTGTTCTCACAATTTAATATTTCTCAGATGTTGAATTATTTTTAAAGCATTCATTTGTTCCA